AAAAGAAATGCTGTGCAGATAGATGGGCCCAGCTATGCAGGTGATGCAATGGTGCTTTGGGTTTTTTGGGTCTGGAAGAGGATTTAGGGAGAGGGACCCCCCTGCCAGTTCAGTTCCACCACTGCCTTCTGCATGGGAAAATGCCAAGGACTTAAGAATTTAATTAAAAAATACAGCGGCATGATTATCAGGGGGTACCTGCCAGCAGTAGGGTGTCTCTTAAAAATGACCCATGTGCTTCAAGCCCAAACTCCAACTGATAACTCTCACGAGAAGAATTCAAGAGCTAGAGAGGCTTTTACTTCTTTTCTTGAAGAATACAAAGGGAGTCAAGTATGAGAGAGGTGTAAAGAGCTAACGCACCGTCAGGTTCACAGAGAACAGGGGAAAAGGTGTGTCTGAATAGCCCAGGTTTTGCCTCTCAGCCTTGTCAGCTGATGCACCGCAGGCTCTTGTGAGCAGAGCAGAGTGTGGGTTTGCAAAGGACACAGAATCATAGAGTTGTCATGGTTGGAAAGGACCTTAAAGAAGACTTGAGTCCAACCATCAATGCAAAAAAAACCCAAACAAAAACAACCACACACACTCCACCAGAAGACACAAACTAAGAAAACCCCAAACCCCACCATCTCAGCCACTAGAACATGCCCTGAAGTGCCACATCTTCACATTTGTAGAATACCTCCAAGGATGACGACTCAACCACTTCCCTGGACAGGCTGCTCCAGGGCCTGAGCCCTCTTTCAGTATAGAAATTCTTCCTAGTGTCCAATCTAAACCTCACTTGCTAGAACTTAAGGCCATTTCTTCTGGTCCTATCATTATTTACCTGGGAGAAGAGGCCAACACCCACCTCCTTACAGCTTCGTTTCAGGTATTACAGAGGGTGATGAGGTCTTCTTTCAGCCTCTTTTCCTTCAGATTAAACATCCCCAGTTCCCTCAGCCTCTCCTCGTATAACTTACTCTCTAGACCCTTCACCAGCTTGTCAGCTCTGCCCTGGACACGCTCTAGCACCTTGAGGTCCTTCCGGTAGTGAGGGGCCCAAAACTGAACACAGTACTTGAGGTGCAGACACAGTACAGACACATGCTATTTGAGGCCTGCTGCTGCTATACACACATCTCTTTACCCCTACTCAGAAAAATTATTTTGGCAATAATTATAGCCAATGGCTTTGTTTGTACTGATGGAATGATTGGTGGTTCTTTGGTGTTGTATTGACTGTGATTGTGCTCTGTGAACACTAACTTTCTTTTGGCACCATTTGCTTGTTCAGATAAAGGTCGAAGGTACTTGATGTTGATGTTTGTAGTGGTCGCTCCAGTGAAATATTTAGAAGTTTGCTCTCTGTTACATTAAGACAAACGCAGTTGATGTCATGCCTGTAATTCTCCACCTTCCCAAAAAAATGAAAAGTAAGATGATGTTTAAAATGGATACCTCCATTTCAAAGAAAAAGTGAACTGTAATTCTGCCCAGATATTTCTGGTGACATCCTGAGATTTTGAATGTAAGTTTTTACCAAACTCCTAAACATCACCATCTTCAACCCAGTTTACAGCATGTTCATCCTTAGGTCACTGCAGGTTAGGGTCGAATCAAGTGAAATACTATGTTTCCTTGTTGTACTTTCCAGGTGAGAGAACAGGGCTTTTGGGGTGCTTCTGACTGGTTGGAAAATGCTCAGGAAATTACACAGTATTTGTATTATGTTGTACATTTTAGAATGCAGTCAGATACTGAGTGCTAAGAAGTTGCTTTGTTGCAGTCAGTATTGTATAATACATAATACTTTTTATTTCCCTTATAAGGAAAAAAGTAAACACTTCTACTTTTTTTTTTTTAACTGTAATGATTTTTAAGATTTTACTAAATAAACTGTTACCAACAAGCTTATTGCAAGAGCTTTGAAGGTGAAAATGTGAACAGTGATGTCAGTATAAAATAAAGTAATGCATGAACACTTAGGTGCATTATTTGTCTCAAAGCAGATGTAGTTGAAATTGATACAAAAATGTAACTACTAAATTTTAGTACTGGGGAGAAGGAGGGAGGATCCAAGAATAAGTTTAGAAGCTGAATTTTCTTCAGTTTCCACTGCTGAACTCAGAAGTTGCAGGAATATTTTTGTGCTGTTACTGACATCAGAAAAGAACGTGTAGTGCAAGGATATAGAAGCTATATATTTGCATCAGTGTTGTAGTGCATCCAAAATGTAGCATATCTGTCTTGAGTGCTCTTAACATATTTATGAAGAGTTTTAAATTATTATTTTTTTAAAAAAAAGAAACCACAAAGCCTGTGATTGATTATCATGGTGTAACACTGCTTTGCTTTCTTGATAACATTATGGCCATATGCTTGCCCTGTGAGTAGCAGACCAGCCAGGATTTCATGTACCTACCTCAAAGTACATTTTCATCATAAGCAGGGCTGGCAGGAGCAGGAGCGTCTAGTATTTCGTCTTTTCCCTCTTCCAAACAGACAGCAGCCAGTAGCCTGTGTTCGTGTTCCTTTGACACAGGCCATCTCTGTGCTAGTCAGCTGCCTTGTCTGCACCTGGGACTTCCAGTGAGTTGAAAGATCTGCAGACAGAAGATCATCCTGTTGTACAGCAAGAGCAGACCATGTGCAAGTAGTGTGCTAGTGTTGCTGAGAGCTGCTGCTGCAACTGTTCTAGTCAAGCAGCTGCTTTATTGCTGTAATAAATTTCAGCTGGGTTTCAGACTAGTCAGTAGCTCTGATGTCTAATAGAAAATGTATTTCAGTAGGAAGTGTTTGAAGGGAGCAAATGCTCTATCAATTCTTAGCAGTAATGATTCCTACTGTTGTTTCATTGCTTTTTCTCTGTTCTTGAGGCTTGATGTATTTAGTTCCATGCTAGTATTAATGAAAGCTAATTGTCTTGTGAATTTCCTGCAAATTGCATTTCCTTCCCAATTATGAACAGATCAATGTAAAATGCTTTATTTGATGTGACAGCTTTTTTTATGCAAGTAAGTCTTTTCCTACAAAAACCAGAGTTCTAATAAATAGTCCTGACTATTTCTTCTGACAGTTAATTTTCTGCATAGTTGCAGATTTAATACACACGGGTTATTCAGGTTAGGTCTGAGTCATGACAGGATAATAGCTTTTCTGAATAAAAGCTGGTTTAAAAAACAAAAAGAAAAAAGGTATTGTTACTTATCTTTAGCCAAGACTAGTTTCTGGCTGAGTGTTTGCCTGCTACTTGGTGACCAGGAAAGGACACGGTTGAATTGCTTCCTATTACACTGTTCATTTTAAATGGAAAAGCTGTTGCTGTTTCCTGTGCACGTGCATGTAGACAGGAAGTCTTAATTTGGCTGTGTAGGTATTCTGTAGCAAGACATTTTTATGTGGCATGGGACTGGACAAGAATGGTAGTGTACAAAGTCTGCAACCTGTGATCAGCCAGTAACCCAAAGAGAGGGCTTTTATTGTGCTATTCTTACACATTTGTGTATGCAAAATACCTGTATGAACAGTAGTGGATTTTTTTCATCCCAAACTCCTATCTCTTATTTGCTTATTTTTATATACCTAATTTAGCCTTCTGGAGAAAAGAATGTAAATGATTTCCACTTGTTATAAAAACATTGCAATGAGATGTAAAGATAGAAAAAAGTAAAATCCCAAGGGTCCTAAACCTGTAATTTACTTGTCTCCTGCGAATGGTTTAGTGTTGTCTTGCTGCTTGTAAAATGAGTATGTTTTCCCATTTCCTTAAAGTTTACTGATTCACAGAGAAGCCGATACATGATGACACATCTTTCAAATAATCCTATAAAGTAAAAAGCAGATACTGCAGAAAACCTTTGATTATTAGAATTTTCTGTGAAAATATATGAATTCATTTTTTGTACCTGTATATGTGTGTATATATCTGTTTTGTTGTATTTTTTAAATGTGAACCCGAATTTCCTAAATAAAAAATTGGAGAGGATAAGGGGGGGGGGGCCTTAAACACAAGAGAGCTACTGTTTGATTCAGAATACTTGAAAAGAATTTGTTGAAACATAGGGAAAGGTTTTATTTACATTTGTGGCTTTGCTGACCTCTGCTGGAGAAAGAATTATTTACAGTTTTATGGAGATCTTTTATGCAGTGCATCTGCAGAGAAATGTTCTCTCTCTAAATTTTGAAGGGAAGAAAAAAACCTAACACTTTAACTTTCCCTTATATGCTGTAACATGGTTCTAGGAAGCTCAATTCTCTTTGCTTGCTGTTACCACATTGTTAGTGGCAATGAGAACTGCTCTGCTTTGTATCTTAAGTGTTGGATAGAAGAGGGAATATCTTCATGTTTCTGGCTGCAGGGCTCTCAGCATTTTGATGTAGAAAGCAGCATGCTCTTGGCAGTTAATGAAAATGCAGTTTTAGCAACTGGGAGGAGGTTCTTGCTTCTGCTGTCACCATTACTCTTTGGAGATCACATGTATTCTCTCTGAACATCTTGCCTGTTTCTCTCAGCTCACTAGAGTTTAATCTGATTTTTTCTCCAAAACTTGTGCTGCTACTACTGCTACTGTACCAGTCAGTCAAGCCTGGAACACTGTTAATTTTGCACATCTTCATCTGATCCATAAAATGGCCTTTGCAGTAGGTCCCAAGGTTCAGCTTTTTGCTTTCCCACAGCTAAAAGCGCATCAGTCCTCAGCTCTGAAGTGATTATTAAATTTGCCTTTGATTACATCTGTGGCCAGTGCATGTCCATCATAAAACCGTGTATATTGTTTCTTCTGATGTGATCTCAGAAACTTGGAACTTGGAGACCCAGCCTGATAGCAAGATGCCTTAACGGGTGTACAGTTTTATGTGGTTTCATGTACTGCTATGCAGCAGTAAAAAAAAGTATTCAGATACAAGTATTTCAGAAGCTTCAAACTTGCCTAACAATGAGTGTGTGTACTTCTGTGAGTATCCAAGACTTTTTTCTTGCCCAATAATTCCAAAAATTTTGCTCTGTTTTTCAGGATATTCACTTTATACAGCAAATCTTTGCCACTAGACTTGGCATGTCGTGTCTGGGATGTGTTCTGCCGTGATGGAGAAGAGTTCTTATTCCGTACAGCCCTGGGAATATTAAAACTTTTTGAAGATATTTTGACCAAAATGGACTTCATTCATATAGCCCAGTTTTTAACAAAGCTACCAGAGGACTTGCCTTCAGAAGAATTCTTCACATCTATTGCTACCATTCAGATGCAAAGTAGAAACAAAAAGTGGGCTCAGGTAAAGGGGATGTTGATCTTTGATAACATGATTGTACTGTACTCATGAAAAGAGGGTTTCGCAACATCTAGAAGAATGTTCTAGCAGTGGCTTTTTTTACAGATGGGTAGGACTGTGTAGCTCACTCCATGTTTTCAGTATATATTCAGGTGAGTGGATTCCCCGAGCTTCATCTCCTCTGGAGAGGGAGAGCTCAGACAACATTTAAAATTGAAATGTTGGGTGGAGTTGAAGTATTTTATTATATTTAATAGTTAAAATAGTATTGCTCAGAGATAGTTAAATTGGAAACTTTTCAGACGATGTATTGAGTCACTTTGAAAATCTAAACTGTTTTCTTTCTCATTCCTTGAAACATCTAGATACTGGCAGCTCTGCAGAAAGATAATCGGGAGATGGAAAAAGGAAGTCCTTCGCTGAAACGTTAGCCCTCTGCCTCCAGTGACTGGTGGGAAATGAGCTAAAGTGGCAAAACTATCAAGTACTGTTTGACATGTATGAGCCTGCAAATCAAAGTGTTATTTCAGAGTTTTGTTTAGTAGTAGGATAACCTTAAAGGGGAGAGAGGAAGAAAGAGGTGGGGAGGAGAGAAAGAAAGGGTGTAAGGAAAATGGGGAGTAAAACCCTTAAAAGTGAAGCCTAGGCTTAGTCTTAAACTTTTAGTGGAATGAGCATTTGTTGTGGACAACGTTACACATTCTGTACTTCTGATGAGGGCAGTGAAACTAAACAATACTAAGGGTAATTTTTTGTGTTTTTTTTTTTTTTTCTTTTATGATTTAAAAGACTGGGCATTCAACAGTGTTGGTTGCTTTGGAAGGTATTCCCCAGTTTCATTCTTAGGCAGGATGTATTTCCCATACCTGTAACAGTAGCTGGATTTGGATTTTAAATAACTGGTGCTGGAATTTATATGATGTAAGGACCATTTATTTAGCAATGCTTTCTGTTTTCTTGGCTGTGGGTCCCATTTACCAAAGAAATCATGTAGACATAGAACTACATTCCATTCTTTAGTAAGAAGTCAAGTAGAAGTAAACTTGGAAGAGAAGTCACACTGGCAGTTCAAAACCAGTTATTATTTGTGATGCCTTGGAAATCTGTGTTTCCAATCTGGATTCATTTGGAAGAAGTTCTGTTAATGAGACTAGATTCCAAACTTACCCCAGAGTTTTCTGGTATTGAGCTGGCATCATTTCCCAATTATACTGTGTTTCCTATGTTTAAAGCCAGGGTCACATACTGCTAAATGTATGTTTCCATGTCTTCCTCCTCTAAGCAGTGCTGTTTTGGGATATTCTTGCATGCCAGCTACTTACTGCTGTGCTGCCTCTCCAGCTCTGTGGGCTGAGCAGAGAAACTGGGAAAGGGTTAAAAGCAATTTTTATCATTGCTTGAAACCCAGCTCTACTCACTGGCAAAAGTAGAGGGTGTAGGGCAGAGGTGACAGAAGCCAACGTTGCTGCTGAAACAAAAAGGTTGTGTGAGATCTCCTGAAACTGCTGCTGCCACAGAGGGTGTTATGTGGAGCTGATCTGTTTGTAGTGTCATGTGAAGTAATTTTATTAGGGAATGTGCCAGACCAGTACTATCGGAGTAAGTACAAGTTGTTTCCTGTCAGTTTATCCAGCCTCTAATACATGGGAGCAAGTTACAGAGAGGGCAAACTGTGGCTGCGTGATGCTGCTATATAGCTTGGATCCTCTCTGCATTCAGATGAATGTTGAATTGTAAATCACGAGTGCCTCTGATTTACAAGAATGTTTATTGTGTAGTGCATAGTGTAAGATCTTTTTTATAAATAATGATGATCATTGAAAAGGGAAACTAACTGAAGCAATATCTGTATTAACTGTAAGCAGGCGTTACTAAATCCTGTAGCTATATGGTAAGCAGTTTCCCAGTGCTCTTCTGTCTATTTTAGGCTGATTATTTTGATACTGTCTGAATGAAAAAATGAGAATCGTAGTTGTACACTGCTCACCTCAACATGTAATATAAAGGACTGTGGGTTGTAATCAAAGTATTGTCCTTTAGTACAAACATTATTTCTGTGAGGGGTAGTTTGACTGTAATATTAAATAGTGAGAGCAGGATTCCCTGGTAAGTGAGGACTCATAAGCATTTTGGAAGATGTGTAATGTAAATGCAGCTCTCAAGTCGGATACCTCATTGGCCTCTTCTCCTGTCCCATTTTGTGTACCTGGCATAATGGATGTGTTTTTCTGTTGGCCATCTTAATTCCTCCGTAAGACTTCTAGGTCATCACTTACTGAAAACAGGCATCAAGATATTGATAGAAAATACATGCTACTTCTCCCAGAATTTGGATAGCTTTGGTCTTTAACTGATGGGTACTTGTATGCTACATTGCTTTGAAGTGCAATAGAAAGCTGGAAGGTCAGTAAGTGTTTTTCAATATTACTTTTTCTATTACTACAACAAATATGCCTTTCCATGAAGGATACGAGAGGCCTACCTACCATCGGCAACATTTGCACTATGCTTTTAAGTGGTTTATTAAACACATAGACAACTTTTTCCTCAATACACATTTTTAGGTGGTACTGTAACTGGCTTTGTGATTTAAGTCTTCATTGCAACTAGATTTTTATTTCCTTTTAAACCAAGTCTACAAGTGTGGCTCATTTGTCTGGTTAAAACATATCCTTTAGCCACTAGTTGTTTTTGTAGCCATTGGCAGCCTGTTCTCCCTTTCTCAGTGTGATGTTGAATGTAACAGTGAAAATGGGCATAGCTGTGGGGAAAAACGCCTGCTGCAACACTCGTGCACTGTTTGTTACTTGCAAATGTCATTATTTTGTTCTGTGATTTGATCTTTCTGTTCTTAGAAGATGTATATATTTTCTAAATGATTTCATTGTGTAGATAAGGTATGTACTTTAATGAAGAAAAGCAATGCAATAAGGAGCTTTGCACAGTTTGTTTTCAAACAAAATGCTTTTGGAAAAAAAACCTGCCTAAAGATGCAATTGTTTCAACTTCTCAGTAACTTGATTTGAAGGTAATGCTTGAACTTGGATGAAAACAAAGATGAGAAGTAAGGGCATAGAGTTACTTGCCACTGAGCTTTTTAAGTTCTTGCAGCATACCAGATCTCTTAATTAGCTATTAAGGAAGATTTATGTAATAAATTCAGGGATTGCATTAAAAATGTTGACAATTTTATTGTTCAGGTGCTTGAGAGTATCTGTAACAAAATGCATGAGATTTTCTTTTATTGAACAAGTATCCCCATCAAGCAAACTTTTATTTTCTTCACGGGCTTAAGGAAAAATAAAAACACTGCAATACATCAGAAATCTGCTACTACCACTGTTCATGCAGCAGATTAGAAAAATCAGAAAAATTCAACCAGGTCTGGAATTCTGTACAACCTGCACTTTATAATAAAGCCTTTTTGCAACTTAAATCAGCAATCAATCATGAACGTTATTTCATCTAGTAAAGAATTCCATTTGGGAAAAAAAAAGGTACCTTATTTTTGAATGTTTTGAAAACTAGAATGACATATAGAGAACTGTTGATACATCCCCTGTACATCATGTTTAAATGGATTTTATGTAGTAATTAAGTTTGTTTTGTTTAGATACGTGTATCAAACTGGAATTTTTTCAACTGTAAATACATGGTTTTGTTAAATAAAGTCATGTAAAGTTACCTTAATCACCTATTGTGAGTCTAATTAAGAAATTAAAAATTCAAGTACCTGTCTGTTTCTTCACAGGCTTCTCTAGCGAGTTTTTTCTTGGCTTGGGGATGAACATTGGATTATTGCAGAAGGAGGAATTTTTAGTGATGCTTTCCAAGTTCTGATGTTAAAATACCTATTATATTGCATGTGACATTCTAGAAGAAGTGATACTTTTGGTACCCATGTTTTAATCCATTTCATATGCCTTTCTCTGAACTAGGTTTGAGAACTGGTAAATTTATTATGAAAACCAGATGTAAATGCATCTACATGAGATGCGTGGAACTCAGAAATGCTCCAATGCTTTATCCTGTCTCTGGTGTAAAAAAAAAGAAATCTTGTTTTAATTCTTGTGTAGGTATAACTCCAGAGATTAAAGAGAAGCTTCCTGTTCCTTACTTACCTGAAAAGAGGCTAAAGCGCCAAGATAGAAGCAGGGGACATAAGGTGGTACCTGTGCACCATAGGGAATGCAGTTGAAGACATTTGGCTGCCACGGTTCTAGTTTCTCTGGTAAAAATCACTTCCTTGTACTGAAGTATCTTACTGTTTGGTTTGCTGGATTGGAATGTAAAATCAGAATTGCTTTATATAAACATATATAAGTTGGATTCAATATAGCTTTATATTAAGTACATTACAGGAGTTGCATAGAATTACTCAAAACTAGATTTCCTTTCCTGTTTTCCCAGTACTAATTCCAGTCCGTTTGAAGAGAAGTGCTTTCCTGCATGCCAGCACGTGAGATTAGGAAAGAAAAAGGCATTTGCTTTTTAATTATTCCTGACAGAATGTCTTCCTATACTTATAGGAGAAAAATGAAGAGATCTTTGATCTTCATCCTCAGGGTGCTTTGGAGGGCCAGGGTAGCAGTGGGTGGTTTCAAACAGCTCAATGCTGAGAAAAGTAGTCCTGGAGACAGTGTGTAAAGTTTAAGCAAATGTCTCAGTAATATTTGTGTCAGTAGAAATACTCAGTTCAGGGAATACACTATCAGCCTCATTTGCACCCCAAATTCTTGCCTTCTCCAGATGTCAAACACACAGCAATGAAAGGCATCTAGGATTTACTTCCCCTGTTTCTTCTCCCTTTAACTCTATACGTTTGTTGCTTTATAGTGTTTTAAGAAGTTAAAAGGAAGGTTTATATGTCTTAAGCCAAAAGAAGCAAGAAGTCTTAAGAATTTCCCTGGCAGGAATTTAGAAGAAGTCAGAACAGGTAAAAGTAACTACTTGTAAGAACTGGAGAAGAGCTCACTTTTGGTAATGAGGTCTAAGATGAAAGGTACTGATTTAGGTGTTGGTTTGTTGTTTGTTTTTTTTTAACTTGGTAAGTGGTTGGCAGTTAAATTTGTCTCCGTTTACTGTCCCAAAACAACAGATGTAGGTAGATCTACTGATACTTTCTGGAAAGTTTCTGACTATTGTGTTACATCTCTTCATTAATAGAGTTTGAGCTACTGGAGACAAGGGAGTATTTCAGCTGTTTGCAGAACAAGAGCCTGCACTGTGCCACTGTGTTTATGCAACAGTTCTGCAAAACTGTAAGGACCTCTAAATATAACCAAAGAGTATGTAAAGTAAATGTAAGAATATAACCAAACTAAGAATATAACCAAACTGTGAAGGAGGAGTTGATGTATTGACTGTGACAGGAGCTTGACCCATACGAATCGGTGAGTCTGGATGCCATCCACCCAAGAGAGATCTGCTGATGTTGTTGCAAAGCTGCTCTCCATAATCTTTGAGAAGTTGTGGAGACTGGAAGACATCCCAAGAAGGATTCAAAGGAGGTCCTAGGTAACAGACCCAGTAGTCTCATTTCAGTCTGGGAAGTCTAATTTCAGCCCTGGG